AAGACAGGGCAGGATGCCCATGGTAACAACCACGGGAAATGGTGTCAGTCAGTCAGGCTGGATCCGGCTCTTCACTTACTGGTTGTGTGACCTGAGCACAGGAGCCCCTCCAAGTCTCAGGCGCTCACCTGCACTTGGGCAGGTAGTCAGAGTCACTATATAGAGTAGCCCTTGGTGGAGCGAATCCTGTTAGATATGTCTGTAAAGTACTTATCAGAGTGTGTATGACAGGGGATGCCTTCTGTTAATAGATGCTGTCATTCACGTGTTCTGATATTGATCATTCCAAAACATGCATATTACTCAGTCTTCGTTTAAACATCTAAATGCCACCAACCTTTCTTGATTCTTTTTGAAATTGAGCTCATCTACCTGTTGTCATTAGAGATACAAGCTAGTTTTAGACAAGGTCCCATTATAACCTTGTTCTGCTTCAATCACACTGCCGGGGAGAAAGTCATGAATGGGGCAATGGATTCATTATTTGATTTTGCACCTGCAAAACTCTAGTTTATATATTCCCCCTAATAAGCACTATAATATAAATATTCACTAAACACATTATTTTTTTAGCAATGAGATTTTTCGATTTATATAGATAGATATATTATATCACTGTTCATTTTTTTTACAATGTTTGCTTTCTTTTCTCATGTGTAGTCCTCAGAGAATTCCCACCACCAATTCACCCAAGCACCATCACCACAGTCCCTTGTTCTCTTCATTCCCACGTTTTGATCCCTCTCTCTCCCCCTCCCCTCCAGAATATCTCTGATTTATAGTGGACTGGTTTTTTTTTTGTTTTGTTGTGTTTTTTTATTATTATTTTTCCCCTGATCCCTTATTTGTTTCCCCTACATTCCTCCTATAAGTGAAACCATCCAATATTTTTCTTTTTCCTTCTCATTTATTTCACTGAGCATAATCCCTTCCAACTCCATCCATGTTGCTGTGAGTGGCGTGAGTTTATCTTTTTTGATTGCTGAATAGTATTCCACTTTGTATAGATACCATATCTTCTTAATCCAGTCATCTATTTTCTAACATTTGGGTTGTTTCCATATCTTACCTATTGTAAATAATGCTGCAATAAACACAGGGATGCAGGTATCCTTTTCAATTAATGTTTTGTGTCCTTTGGGTAGATCCTTAGGAGTGGAATTGCTCAGTCATATGGTAGTTCCATTATTAGTAGTCTGAGGAAACTCCACACAGCTTTCCATAGTGGTTGGACCAGTTTGCACTCCCACCAGCAGTGCAGGAGAGTTCCTTTTTCACCACATCCTTGCCAACATTCGTTGTTGCTAGTTTTTTAATGTGTGCCATTCTTGCAGGTGTAAGGTGGTTTCTCATTGTGGTTTTGATTTATAGTTCCCTGATTATGAAGGATGTTGAACAATTTTTTCATAAGTCTGTTGGCCATTTGCATTTTCTTTTTGAAGAAGGGTCATTTAAGTTCTTCTGCCCAATTTTTGACTGGATTGTTTACTTTACTTTTTTTTTTTAGTTGTGTGAGTTCTTTGTATAGCTTTATGATAAATCCCTTATCGGTTGCATGGACTGCAAAAAAATTTTTCCCTATCAGTAGAATGTCTCTTTGTTTTGGTAAATGTCTCCTTTGCTGCATAGAAGATTTTTAGTTTGATATAATCCTAGCTGTTTATCTTAACTCTCACTTTCTTTGCTTTGGGGGAGTGTATATAAAGATGTTACTGAGATGTATGACTTGTAGTGTTTTACCTATGTGTTCTTCTATATATTTTAAGAACACATCATTTTTATAAGAATAAAATAGTTTGATTTAAATAGCTTTTATTGAGTCAATATTGGTTTACATCACTGTTTGAATTACAGGAGTGTTGGGCCCCGCTGCTGATTTTGCTGCCACAGCTCACCCACCACCAGAGACCCCATAATCCATACCATAGGCCCTTGCTCCCTCCTATTATGTTCTCTTCCCTCTCTTGCTCCATTTTTCCAACCAGAAATTTGCCCCATTCCACAGTCATCTTTCAAGGCAACTGAACATTTTCTTAGGATAATTTAAAAATGTCCACTAAAGGTCAGAATGGCATGCCCCAGCCAAACAATGAAGGACATTTTCAGGCAGTAGGAATTATTTTTGTTCCACAAATCACATTTCATGAGATACATAATGAATTGTAGCTACATTGGGAAAAGCTTGGCAGAACTCTATATACCCCAATATTCTACATGTGATATGGGGAGAGTATGTCACCCATTACCTTTACATATTTATTTAAAAACTAAATCTATGCATTTCTAGACAGTAAAATGTTCCATAAATACAAATGTATTATGGACACTTATGTCATTCACCATTGTCTAAAGAAAATCTTTTTTGTACATTTTTGTAATATTTTTTGGTTGCTATTGGATGCTGAGTCTCATGGGACTCCCTAGTCTGATGACTCTGATCCTGGTTAAACTGAAGACCCTGAAACTTCTGAGGGGCTCACATTTCTGGGATTTTGGCTCCAATTCTAGAGGCACAAGACGGCTGCCATCATTTCTGCCCTCTTATTCAGTTTCTGGAAGCTTCCATGGAACTTGTTCCAACCCATATAAGGTCAGAATTTGACGAATTTAAGTTCTTTCTAGCCTCAGAGAATTTCCATAACCTATTTTTTTTTTTCAATTCACTTCAAAAGAAGGTTCAAGGAATGACATGGCAGAAACAGTAATTTCAGAGTAAGCCTGGAGCAGTCTTTTTGCCTCTCCTCAATTCCTCTTCCAATGCTCTTCTTCCTCCTCCTTTATTTCCTCCTTCTCCTACTCCTCCTCATCTATCTCTCTCAACCTCACCCTGTTTCACTATTTCTCTCTCTCTCTCTCTCTCTCTCTCTCTCTCTCTCTCACACACACACACACACACGTATACATACACAACCCACATTCACTCATTCTGCTCTCTCCCTTGGTGTTAAAATTATGAAGTATTACTTTTAAAATAGTTATTCTCATAATAATGTTCCACAATTTTATTGATTTATAATAAATTCTTATTGGCTAAATAAAAAGAAATATAAAAAATCAGGAAATGAACAGTCTGATGGTTTATTCCATTGTTGCCTTTCTCTATATCTGACACATGTAGCATCCCTTCTCAAAACATAATTTTATCACATGGTTCTAATAATGACAACAGGCTTTTTTATCTGACTTCAGTATTTGCAACACCATCACAATCACATCACTTGTGTTGGCAGCTAAATGATGGGGTCAGCAATTAAAGTCATGATATTCATTTCTTCTCTCTAATTAGCTATTTTGAGATTGACAGTGTCACTTACATATTCTAAACTATGCTCCTTAGAGAAGTTCAAAAATCCATTGTTGCTGAGTTAAATGTTATCCCTTTATCAGTCACTTGAGATCTGTTTATCATTTTTGTTCCTCAGATTACAGAGAAGAAGGACTAACATGGGGATAGTTAAAACACAGAACATGTATGAAAACTATTCTGTTTCGTGGAGTGGCAGAAGTAGGATGCACATGCAAAGAGAGGCACAACCACCAGTTGGAGTTAATGGTTTTGATTCTTTGAGGCAGTAACAATTATTATTATTACTATTTTCATTGTAGAGGTGAGGAAAACGTGTGTCAGTAGATTGCATAAGAGCACTTAAATACAAAGTATGTTACAGATGAGTTTACTAATCACAGGTCTGATCACTAAAGAACAGATTCTATTAACTGCAAGTTGCATTAGTCTCTGCAATTACACCTGCCAATGCTGCAGAGCCATCAATTACAAAGATCATCTTGTATTGCTGCTCCCTGGGAAGAACATGGTGGATTCAATATGCACAGGTTCCCCCCTGAAACAGGGAGATTATTATTTCTCACTCTATGAATCCTATAAAGCAATCATATTCATACAATTTTCTATGGGTTCTCTCGGTTTGTTTCTAAGAATCTGCCACCCAAATTCAGATGAATCTTCTGTTTTCCAATCAAACGTAAGGTCCTGTAAACCCAGGAGGCGAGATATTTGGGATTCAGGTCCTGCCTCTGCAGGCAAAACATGGTGGCCATCATATCTGAATTTAAAGGCTGTAGGAGCCTGCACTGGGGCATGAAGGGGCACCTGTGCCTCACTATGATGCATTTGACTTCTTTCCAGCCCGAGTATTTCCCCAACCTTTACTTTTATGTTCCATTCCTGACGCGATCTCTTTGCACAATTCACTGCACAAGCTGACTCCAATAACAGAAGATGTGGTACATATACACCATGGAATATTGCTCAGCATTCAAAAAACGATAAACAATGCAATTTGCAGCAACACGGATGGCACTGGAAGGAATTAAGCTCAGCGAAATAAGCCAGAAAGAAAAAGAAAAATACCGATGGTCTCACTCATAGCAGGAATCTAGAAAACTTAAACAAGGGACCAGGAAAATGAATAACTATAAGAAAGTGAAAATCAAAATCAACAAACAACTATGAACCAGAGACACTCTATGGGGCATGGGGGGGGGCGGGGAGGGGAGGGATTGGGGTCAAAATAAGGGGATTGCAATTATATGGGGAATATAAAAGTAAAATTTATTTTAAAAAAATACAGTCAGAACCTTTGTCTGTTTCTTGGAGTAAGGGCACGAAGATGCCCATGCATAGAGAGGGCTGTGCCACCCAAGAGAATCAAAACAACCAGGTAGGAGGCACAGGTAGTGAAGGCCTTGGCAGTACTTCTGATGCAGGGTGTTTTCAGCATGGAAACTTCAGTGGAACCAGAGGAAAAAAGATGGCAAACAAAGATCCAACCACATCAAAAAACAGATGTAAGTAAAAGAATCGTTGTGCTGCGGAGGTATTGAGGCAAGACAGGTTCATAATCTAGGATAAATCACAGATGAAATGCTGTGTGGTGTTTGGCCCCAATCATAGAGATGAAAACAAGTGACTGTTGAAACTAAGCTACTAATAAAATCAATGAGAACTGCACATAAATCCAAAGCATGAGACAGTTTTCTTTTATTTATGGTTTATTTGTTAGTTGTTTTGGTCCAGTGACTTTTGACATTAGGATAACTTAACATTCACTACCAAGAGTAAATTGAAAGACAGGAGCTTTAATGAAGTAGAGTCCACAGAATGGAAGGTGGAGAAAAAATGGTCAGAAGGAAAAGTCAAGGATCCATGTGTGTAGTAGATTTCAGACCGAGGTAACATCTCCACATGTGGTCACTTGTATGAACTTGAGTTCTTTCCATTCACCTGAGGACTGCTTCCTTGTTCAATGAACTGCAGAGGTGGGAGTAATGGCTTTTTACTCACTATTATGAGTAGATATTCCAAAGAGGCTTATGCTGTCTCTTGTTAGCAAGTTACCAGGATTTCTCTTTACATACATGAAACTGAATAATTCAAAATGACTAATCACTTATTGCATAAGTTAACATTCATTAACTATGACCATATACCAGACTCTGGGCTAAGGTTTTACATGCCTATTCTCAGTTAAATAATGTGTCATTTTTGAGGAAGATGCAATTCTTCTTCTCATTGCAGAGATAAGGAAAATATGTGTGTGTGTAGCTTACATGAGGGCACCTGTCTACAACGTGTGTTAGAGATGAGTTTACTAATTGCAGATTGATAATTAAAGAATAGATTCTTTTAACCACATCTTCTTTAGTCTCTGCAATCCCACCTGCCAATGCTTCAAAGACATCATTTACAAAGATCATCTTGGATGGTTGCTACCTGTGAAGAGCATGGTGTACTCAATATTCCCAGTGTTCTACCTGAAACAGGGAGATTATTTCTCACTTTGTGAATAACCTAAAGAGATTACATTTATACTTGGAGGTACACGAAATCTAAATGTTGTACACATACTATTGCAATATGTTTGACTCTTAGTCTATGAACTCTTGTCTAGAAATAAAATAATCTCTTAGTCAATTTTCTATAAGATCTCTGGTTGGACTCCAATTTTCTGTGTCCCCCCCAAAGTCAGCTGAATCTTCTGCTTCTTGGTCAAAGCTAAGGCCCTGGAATCCCAGGATGCATGGATATTTGGGGACTCGGACTCCATTCTGTATCTGTAGACACAACATGGCGCCCACCATTTCTGAGTCTGAGTCTCTAGGAAGCATCCACAGAACATGGGCCGGGTGCACCTGTGCCCAGAAAATGATGCCTCTGGCCTCTTTCCAGCCTCTGAGTGTTTCCCCGATGTTTATTTTTAAATGTTCTCTTCCTTTCCTCCATCTCTTTTTCACAATTGTATTTTAAAGGTGACTTGAGAATAAGGTAGAGGAAACAGGTTGGGGGGAATAAAAAAGACCCATTTTCACCATCTCCTCCTGCTTCTCCTCTTCCTTCCAATGCTCCTCCTTCTATTCCTGCTTTCTCTTTCCTCTTGCTGCTTCCTACTGTTTTCTTCTTCTCCTTCTCCCTCTATGTCTCTTGCATCCTCCCTCACTTTCCAGGATTCAGTTTATAATGTGTTCATTTTCCCAATTTTTGAATGTCAGTATGGAACTTAAAAATCTTTCACTTCTTAATTGAAAAACATATGCAAATAAGTTAAAAAAAATTCAAGGGAGAAAGAATAGTTTGTGTGTCTTCCTAGGTTCTTCTAATTTCTCTACATACAATTTCTATCACACCTTCTGTTCTCAACACAGGGTTTATCTACATGGTTCTAATCATGGAAACGGGCTTTCAAGCTGCCTGTCATGTTGGAGCTGCTGCTGAGAAAGATCCCTGCATAGCGACCACTAGGCATAAGAGCACAAGGAAACAGAAGCCAGACTCCATACCTAGGCTGGACAGTCTTATGACCCACAAAATGACACTTAACAGATTCTTAACTCTGTCTTTTGCTAGGAGTGAAAATAAATGGCCATATTATTTTTGTTTTGTTTTCCTATTTTTTTCTTTTTCTGTTCATGTAACATACAAATATTACTCTTAATGAGATAAATGTGTTGTCCTCTTAAGCACTCTCTTGAGTGCATCTTTGATCTCCTTGTTCCTAAGACTATATATGAAAGGATTTAACATGGGAATAATGATAACATAGAACACGGACAGAAACCTGTTCTGTTTCGTTGAGTGGCCAGAACTAGGATGCAAGTACACGGCCAAGGCTGTGCCAAAGAAGAGAGTCACAACCACCAGGTGGGAGGCACAGGTGTTGAAGGCCTTGGTGCTACCTTTGACAGAGGATATTTTCAAGATGGAAGCCACAATGAAAGCATAAGATAACAAAATTATAACCAGAGAACCTAAAACAACAAAAGTCATTATCAGAAAAAGACTCATTTGACTGATGAAGGGATTAGAACAAGAAAGGCTTGAAATTTCAGTTAAGTTACAGAAGAAATTTTGGATGACATTTGGTCCACAGTAGTACATCTCAAAGCAAGTGACTACTTCAATTAAGGTTGAAATAAAACCACACCCAAGGACACCAGCGACCAGTTTCCAACAAAGCCCAGGTGCCATGATGGTCGAGTACTGGAGAGGTTTGCCAATGGCCACGTATCTGTCATAGGCCATGGCAGCCAAGAGGCAACACTCAGTCTGACCCATCCAGGAAGCTACAAAACACTGGGTGGCACAAGCAACGAAAGAAATCATTTTTTCATCTTTGAAGAGGTCTGCAAGCATCCTTGGGCTGATGGAAGAAGTGTAGCAGATGTCTATAAATGACAGGGCACTGAGGAAAAAGTACATTGGTGTGTGCAGGTGGGAGTCCATCCTGATTAGGGTGATGAGACCCAGGTTCCAGAATAATGTCACAAGGTAGATCAGCAGGAAGACTGGAAAGAGACTAAGCTGCATCTCTTTATCTTCTGAGATTCCCAGGAGCACAAACATGGTCACAGACGTGAGGTTTCTGTCCCCTCCCATGGACCTGCTTGGAACCATCTGCTGAGAAAAGATAAAAGATGAAATGGTTCATTGGCCAAAAATAAACAAAAAAACTCTCTTCATTGTTCTCTTTCATGCAGCTGACTAAATATACAAACATGATTCATTTATATTGAGTGAATCGTGCCTCTTTGCATAACCTCAATCTTAAATGAAAAATTTCCCTGCATAAATACTCTCACTCTCCCTATGGACAAGGACAGTGGTGAGGCATCATCAATGCTTTATCCACTTAAATATCTTGATTTCCTTCATCCCTTTCAAATTTACAATTACATGGCAATGGGAAGTAAACCCATTAGGGTGATGCTGTCCCATCTGCACAGGTGAAGAAGGTCACTTTAACTAGGCAGCCCCATGTGACCCAGTGCTTGGAGAAGACCCTGCATCATGCGAAGCCGCAGTGTAAAATGAGGGTGTTCAGTAGGTGCTCAGTAAAATCTCTGTCAGAATTAACATTCAGTTAATCTATAACAAGGAAGGGCAGACATTTTTTTATATACCCTCTGTATACACAAGGTCTTGAAAGATACAGAAATAATATAACATAACAGTCATGGTGGGGCCACAAGCCAACTAGTGACTGGAAATGGATGTGACTAAACCAAATTCATAATTCTAGGACACCTCCCAGGATGTTATTAATACAGAGTTGATGGTGTCTTTTGCTCCTCTCCTTGAGCCTGCAGATTTTTCTTTCTCAATTCAGAGATACTTAAAACTTTAATTGCCTGGAAAGGATTTTTGCTCTTCATTGAGTCACTGACTTTTGAAAATGTGCTGAAAATTCAGACCCCTTGCTGGGTCTGAATAAATCTACCTTCTCCCCAAGGACACTTCAAATCTAGAATTCTGAATTTTTGAGACATTGGTTTTAGTTTTTGAACTCTTTGTCTTTTGGAATAAAGTTCTTTTAAAAGTGTTAAGGCGCGCAGACCTCTCCTGCCGCCCGCTGCTCCCCTCAGCAGTGTACTTCGGTCCTTCTGCCTGCTCTGCTCCCCGCTCTGGCTCTGGTGAATTCTCTCACCCTCCCGCGCTTCTGACTGTACTCAGTGCTTGTATAAATAAACAAACAAATAAATAACTCTTAAAAAAAAAAGAAAATAAATTTTAAAAAATTTAAAAAAAAAAGTGTTAATTTATTTCATGGAGATCACATTAGCAATCCTAAATCTGAAAATCAAAGTTCATCAAATGATAGAAATATCATCTATATGAAAAAATATAATGACTGTGACTTTTGACAGTCAAGATAATAGACTTAACAGGAAAGATATTTAGCAAAGTGATGGATGGAAGAAATTAAGGCAAATGACTTCCAAAATCAACTATAGCCCAAAAAAAGAAGGAAGTTCTACATCAAGAGGAACATTTTGGCAAGAATTGGGGATAAACTGGCCCAGAAGATCCTGAATCTGAGAGAGTCAAACCAAACAAACCATACTATGGATACGTAATTATGTATTAAAAAATGGACAGGCGGGGGCCTCCCGGATGGCGCAGCGGTTGAGCGCTGGGCTGTGAAGCTGCCCGCAGCATCTCCAGTGCCGGTTCGATCCCCGGCTGCTCCCCGGCCACCGGAGGAGGGTCCCAAATGGTGCGCAGACCTCTCCTGCCACCCGCTGCTACCCTCAGCAGTGTACTTCGGTCCTTCTGCCTGCTTTGCTCCCCACTCTGGCTCTGGTGAATTCTCACCCTCGCGCCCTCTGGCTGTACCCAGTGCTTGTATAAATAAATAAATAAATAAATAAATAAATAAATCCTAATTTATTTAATAATTTTTTTTTAAAAAATGGACAGGTGAATGCATGTAAATATCTATTATATATGTGTCTATATTTAGTGGAGTATCAGTTCAATATGGCAAAACAAAAATCCTGCCTTTGTGACATTAATAGCCCTTGAGGGCATTATGCTAAGTGAGGGAACTCAAATAGAGAAAGGCAAATACCATGTGATCAAATTTATGTGGAATCTGAAAAATAACTGAAGTTATAAAAACAGAGAGAATGTTGCAGGCTCCAGAGGCAGAAAGTGGGTATGGGAGAAACAGGTGACAGTGGTCAAAAGGTACACTGTTCTAGTTATAACACAAATAACATGTGGGGATGTCACCAAAAACAAACGAGCCACACTTACCAATACTAAAAAGTTGAAAGTTGCTAAGAGAAAAGACCTTAGATCCTCATAAAAAGGTGAGAATTTTGTAAATACATGAGGTAATAGATGTTATAACTTCATATGGTAGTCATTTTACAATACACACATGTTTCAAAATACTGTGTTATATGCCTTACATCTAACAATGCTAATGGTAAGCTATATCTCAATAAAGTTGGGGAAATTTTAGTTTGGATACCTTCTCACACCTTTAACTGTTCCCATTGGCTTAAACTCACTAAATATGTATGATTTACTCATACAGAAAGACCCCCAAGCTATACATATGTAAGAAAATTTATGCACACATTCCAGTACACAATAACTCTTAAATAGGTGTTGGCTATGCCTATTACCATCACTGATTGCCCCCAGATGACTATGAACGACAATGGTACCCAGAGCTAGTGATTACAGAGATGCTAGACTTTACTGGCAATTTGGGAGAAATTGTCATACATTATCATCTGGGCAGATCATGAGACATCATTTTCTCTTGGCAGATGCAGAATCAGACCTCACATAGAAGCAAGTCAAACCATAAAGATAAAAGCCACATAAATTATCATCTATTCAGTTTGCCTCAGTCAGGTTCTCCACCTGCATTTATTGTGGCTGCTTCTCACTTGTGCCAGACTCCCACAAACACTGTAAGGATTAACATCCCATGAAACAGACTGCTGTATCCTTAAGACCCTTTTAAACTAAATGTAAATGTAACAACTTATTTACTTGTTATTTACTTGTACTGGATTATTTGTAAGGGAAATGTGCACCATATAATGTCAAATTTTTGATCAATCAATGACACTAATATTTTTTGCTGATTACCTATATTTACTGCTAGCAAGTGCAGTCATACTTAAAGTATTCTGCATGACCCATCACTACCAAATAAGAGTATGGGTTGTGAATTGTTTCACTTATCATGAGAAATTTTACCTTGTTAAAATTTGGAAAGCTAAATGAAAAATCTGAATACACTCACTCCTATGATGAATTTTTGAATGTGTTTCATTTCCCAAGAAATTGTAGAGAAGGAATGTAGACTATATAAATATTCACTGGTGATTTCACTGTGAGGACCTAGCCATCAAACCCTACCCATTTTTACATTCTTAGGATGCAGTGAGTTTATTTGTTTGCACAGACAAAAAATCAATTTATAAAAAGTCAAGATGTGTGGAATGAAAAATACCGAAATACCGATGTGATACGAGAAAATTAGATAAGATGGTAAACCCAATACTGCCAATATTTACAGTGGGGCCCCTCAAGAATCAGTGTTCACCCTTGCTATTGTCTTCAGATCCTAAGGACCTCCAAAGATAAGAATAGAGTTAGAGTTTAAGAATTCAAAACCCAATGGCAATGCACATGAGCTTTGGAATATCTTTTATGTAGGGACAAGTTTGGTTCTTGCTACACAGAGCTGAAGCCATGTATTTAAAGGGAAATTAAGTCAATATCATTATTTTAAAACAGATTCCTTAATGGGATAACAAATGAGAAAGATCCTTGGGATGGATAAGTCTGGAAAATATTGGCAATGCAGCTTGGAACATAGGGATTTCACAGAAATTCAGTACATCACTGTTCTTGGTTCCGCACTCGATTATTAAAGTTTTCAGTATTTCCATATTTACAGAAACCATCTCATTAGATTCTAGATGACATATTATTCCCAGTCATATATAGAAACCAGAATGTGGCAGAGCTCAATATCAAGTCCTTTAGAATTGCAGAACTACATCTCAACATCAGCCCTCTCCGAGTGTAATAATTGTCATTAATCTTGTCTCTGAGTTCAGGCAATTTCAATAATGAGGAACAGTTCCATGAGAAGACACCACTGTGGAGGGGATGGAAGGGAGGGAGAGGACAGTGCTGAAGATTAACAGTGACCAAGTGTCACACTCATTGCTCCCCACAGCTCCTGCTAGGAGGCTTACACAGCCGTGGAGACAGCACAAAATCCTCTCTTATTTCTAAATCTTGCTTCTCACCTTGACAAGATCCCTCAGGAATACACACTTCCTGCCAAACTGAAACGGTGTCTTTCTTCCTTGAAAAATGTTCCGGGATCGATCTGGTTGACTCCAGGATGGGAGCTGTGCGCCATGAAACAGAAGTTCACTGACAGCAAGAGAGATGTCCACAAGTTGGGAGTCCTCTAACATTTATTATCGAGGGCAGCAGCGTGAGGGGGAAAGACAATTAGATGGAGGGAGCCTCCAGGCACCTGCTCTCTGGGGTCATGTTGCCATGGCGCTTTGTTTACAACTAATCTGCCCCAGTTCCATCCTGGTCCTTTCTTCCCTGTAGCCCTGGCATAGTGTCATGGTTATAGGTTTGTGGTTTTTTTTTTTTAAACACATTTGGAGTCATTAAAAATTGAAAGGTCTTGGAATAGTTCCATACATACATTTAATATCCAGGTAGTTCATTGAACCAGAGGAACTACGGATTTTGCCCAAGATGACACAGCACTTGATAAATAACTTAGTAACAATAAATTTACTAGGTGGATGCTTCTTGCTGAACAAGCATTCACAATTTAAATATACCAATATATACATTTTATCATGTCCCTTACTAGAATTTATTATCATAACAGCCCTGAGAATAATAACGTGAGGCAAGAAAGAATGCCATAAAACTACTTTAAGACAGGTCACCAATTCTCAAGGTAACAATCACGGGCAAGGTGTCCATCAATTGAGGTTGGATATGACTCGTCCTTTTACTGGTTTTGTGACCTGAGCAAATCAGTTTCTCAAGTCTTTGTTTATCACCTATGAAAGGGCTGCAGTCACAGTCACTTCTTAGAGTCACACTTCATGAAGATACTCCAATTAGTAATATCTGAATAGTACTATTGAGAGTGTGTATTACACAGGATGCCTTCTATTAATAGAAGCAGTCATCATGCATTCTGACACAGTTTGCTCCAAATAGTGCTGCATTACTAATTCTTCATTAAAACATCTACTGTGATTATTGGACAAAACATTATTTCTTGGTTATTTCTAAATGGAGCTCATCTACCTGCTGTGATTAGTTTTCCACATGTTTTGCATATTCTACTTCAGCCAATCTTACTCCTGGGGAGAAAGTCATGGATGGTGCAATAATTGCATTATTTGATATAAAACCTGCTAAAATGTTAGTTTGTACAGCCCCCCCCAAAAAAGAACTATAACTTGACCTTTAATGAACATATTCTTTATATAAGAATAAAATCATTCTATTTTATAACATCTTTCATTGTGTTAATATTGGTTGACATTATTGTTAAATTAAGGGAGCATTGAATCCCCCTCTTCAGGTGTTGCTGCCACAGCTCACTCACCTCCAGAGACCCATAGTCCACAACAAAGACCTTTATGTTCCCTTCCCATTCTGTTCTTTTCTCTCTCCTTCTCCCTTTCCCAACACGTCTCATTGCCCCCCTCCCATGACAAGCTTTCAAGGTAACTGGATATTTTTTAAGATAAATATAAAGACCCTGCCCTGCCCAGTGTGTATATTGGTGTAGGCAGAGGGAGAGCCAAGCAGCCACACAAAGAGTAGCAACCACTGGTGAGAGTGCCCATCAACACACGCACAACATCAGAGTCCACGCAAAACCAAGAGTGGCAGCACTGACCCAATCCAGCAATGCGAGTGTTGGTACACAGGGAGAGGGAGTGCCCAGCAGCCACACAGACAGCAGTGTCCCTGGAGGAGAGGGGGAGAGTGCCCAGCAGCCCATTCACTGCATCACAGTCCTTGCCTAGCATGATTGAGCCAGACACAGCCCAGCCCTCAGTCCCTACATCCCAGTGGAACACCCCAATGTCATGCCCAGTGGAATGGTGGCCCTGCACATAGAACAGAACCAAAAGCAAAACACCGGAGAGAAAGAAAAATACAAGCAGTCAAGCACACCCTTTGGGCAACAACACACCACAAAAAGGTACTCAGCCCCAGAAATCAACAACATGGAAGAATTTCTCTGTGTGACAGTTGAAAAATTCAGAATCGCCATAATAAAAACTTACAGAAAAGGAAAAGCACAATATGAGAAATACAATCAATGAGCTGAAGGATAGAACTGAATCTTTAAATTAGAATAAGAGAAATGCAGAATGTTAAAAGATTAATCATAGAGCTAAGGAATTCTGGGTCTGGGAAAAGCAATGAAACAGAATTGATGAAATGAAGGAAAAAGAACCAAAAGAGAGGAAAGAGAGGAACAAAGGAAAAAGAATGAAGAAACAATTCTAGAACTATCCAACACCATGAGCAAAGAAAATATAACAGTCATAGGAATGATAGAAGGTGAAGAGAAAGACAGAGGGACTAAGAAACTATTCAAGGAAATAATCAAAGAGAAAGTCCCAACATGAGTAGGAAATAAACGTAGACATACAGTAAGCTAGAAGAACACCAGACGACCATAATGAAAAGAGATCTACAGCACAACACATAATAGTGAAGATCCAAAAGTATAAGACAAAGAAAATGAATGAAGCTGACAGGGGAAAGAATCAGATAACCTATAAAGGAAGACCAAAGGCTGACATCAGACTTCTGTGAAGAAACACTATGGGCAAGAAGAGAATGGAACAACATATTAAAAAACTCCAAGACAAAAAATGCCAGCCAAGAATACTTTATTCTGCAAAACTCTCCTTCCTCTATAAGGAGAAAATAAGGTCCATCTAAGACAAACAAAATCTCCAGAAATTCACTACTATTAAACCCTCACTCCAAGAAATATTACAAGAAGCCTTAAAATCTAAGCATACAGAGGAATGAACTGGGGGGAACTGAACAAGTTAATGAATGGAATAGATTTCAGACCACAGTGACATCTCCATGTGTAGTCATGTCTATGAACGTGAGTTCCCTCTGCTTCCCTGAGGATTGCCTCCTTGTGCAGTGAAGCTGCAGAGGTGGGAGTAAGGGATTTTTACTCACTATTATGTCCCAATTACAGTAGACATGCTAAAGCTGCAAAATTTATCTCTTTTTAGCAAGTTACCAGGATTTCTCTAACATATATGAAATGGAATAATAGAATTGAATAATTGCATAAGTTAACATGACTAAGTATTACCATATACCAGGCTCTGGGCTAGGTTTCTTCATACCTAATTCTTAGTTGCTTTGTCATTTTTGAGGAAGGTCCAGTCATCTTCTCATTGTAGAGATGAGGACAATATTGGGTTGTTGGAAAAGTCATGACACATTTTTGCATGAAAAACAGAAAAAATACGTCATTGCTTCTCTGACAACACTTTATGTGTATAAGTAGCTTGTTTAAGGGTACCTATCAACAAAGTGTGCTAGAAATGAGTTTACTAAGATAGATTGGATAATTAAAAACCAGAATGTTTTAACCAGGTTTTGCTTTAGTCTCTATAATCCCAGCAGCCAATGCTTCAAAGTGACCAAGTACAAAGCTGTGGTGGTAAGGGACTCCCTATGGTGATAGTTCATGGTTGAACTGGTCGTGGGTGAACTGGTGATAATATACCTGAGAGGAGAAAGTATACAAACATATATTGTACAAAATTGAAAAATGATGTAAAATATATATAAATAACTATTTTTTAAACTTTTTACTGTAAACAATTGTTCTATTCAATATTCATTATTTAAATTATTTATTATCAAACTAATATTAAACTGATATTAAATATAATAATAAAAACAAAATAATATTTTTGAAAAAATTCTAGAAAGTGCCAATAAAATAAAAAATGACGGGGCCTCCTCAGTGGCGCAGCAGTTGAGCGCTGGGTTGTGAAGCTGCCTGCAGCTCTGCAGCGCCGGTTCGATCCCCGGACACTGGGTGAGGGTCCCACATGGCACACAGACCTCTCCTGCTGCCCACTGCTCCCCTCAGCAGTGTACTTCATCAGTCTGACTGTTCTGCTCTCTGCTCTGGCTCTGATGAATTCTCTCACCCTCCTGAGCTTCTGACTGTGCCCAATGCTTGTATAAATGAATAAATAAATCTTAAAATAAATAAATAAATAGATAGATAGATAGATAGATAGATAGATAGATAGATAGATAGATAGATAGATAAAACCAAAAAAAAATGTTGATGGATGGATTGTTGGGCCTGGAAAGAACATAGTGGATCTCAACATGCTGAGAAGTCTACCTGAGACAGGGAGATTAGTTCTCACTTCATGAGTAAACTAAAGAAATCATATGTTATATGGGTTGACATGAAGTCTAAATGTTCCACATACCATTGTAAAAAGTATGACCCTTAGTACATGAACTATTGTCTGAAAAATAAAACAAACATTTAGTCAAATTTCTATAAATTCACTGCTTGGAGTTTTTGTTTCTGTGGCACCCCCAGGGCTTCTGAATGCCTTGGTCAAACTTAAGGCCCTGGAAACACAGGAGGCTCAGAGCTTGAGGAACTCAGGAGCTGCCTCTGTAGACTCAACATGGCGGCCATTATTTCTTAGTCTCAGTCTCCAGGAAGATTTCATGGAACTTGAGCCAGGTGCACCTGTGCCCAGAAGATGCTGCTTCTGGCTTCTTTCTAGCATCAGAGTGTTTCCCCCAACTTTACTCTTAAATGAACTCTTCCATGCTCCTGTCTCTTTTTCACAATTCACTTTACAAGGTGACTCAAGAATAAAGTACAGGAAACAAGTGTGCTGGGAATAAAAAGACGTCTCCTTTTTCTCCTACTCTTTCTCATTCTCCTACTTCATCTTCTTCATACTCATCCTCCTATCCTTTTTTCTCTTTCTCACTCCTCAATCTCCAGATTAAATTTACAATGTGTTCATTTTTTCAATTTTTAATTTTCGCTATTTAATAAATATATTCCTTTACTTCTCAATTGAAATACAAATATATAAAATAAGTAAAAGAATTTCAGAGAAGAAAGTACAGTTTGGGTAATAGCTTAGACTTTTCTCCTTTAGAGTAATATCTATTACAACATCTCAACAACTGATTTCTCAAACACAGAGTTTATTTACATGAGAAAATCCTGGAAATGGGCTTTCAAGCATCCTGCCACGTTGCAGCTGGTGCTCAGAGAGATCCCTGTGTGGATAGCACTAAGGACAACGGCACCAGGAATCAAGTGTAAGAGTCTGACATTTTCTGCCTAGATAGTCTTGTGACCTACTATAGGACACTCCTGTGTTCTTACTACTGTCTGCAATGAGGAGTAGAAGTACCTAGCCCCATATTATTTTGTGTTGTTTTCCTATTTTTTGCTTT